TACCCGGTGCCCTTGGCGGGTGCAGAGAAATGCCCCCGCGGGCGCCACGCCCGCGGGCACCGTGTTGGGGACCACGGCTATAATATAAGAGCAGGGACACTGTGACTGGTGGAGCCAGTACTGCATCCTATCAGAGAGGTATATGTCTGAACAGAGTGTTGAAGAAATCCTGGCACTAGAGACTCAGGGTACGTCTACACTAGCCCCCTAGTTTGAACTAGGGAGGATAATGAGGGTGACCAAAATTGCAAATGAAGCACGGGATTTAAATATCCCGTGCTTCATTACCATGTTCCCGGGTGGTCGCCATTTTGGAAACTGACTAGCCCGGAATAAGGTGTAACAGCTAATTCAAGTTAGGGGTTTACTTAGAACTTCCGTTTCACTGCCACGTGTAGACGCGGGCAGTTATTCTGGGCTAGTTAGTTTCCAAAATGGCAATTGCTCAGGAACATGCTAATGATATTTAAATCCCGCGCTTCATTTGCAATTTCGGTCGCCCTCATTAGCCTCGCTAGTTCAAAGTAGGGGGCTAGTGTAGACATACCCTCAGAATTCACTAGATATGAACTTGATTCCTGGTCCAGCAAGTGGGACTGGACAACAAAACACAAACATGCTAATTATATTTAAATCCCGTGCTTCATTTGCAATTTCGGTCACCCTCATTATCCTCCCCAGTTCAAACTAGGGGGCTAGTGTAGATGTACCCTGAGTCTCTAGTGCCTGAGAGACCCTGAGAGTTTTTATAAAGGTAAACTGTTGGTGGCAAACAGACAGACAGACGTGCATCATGCTGGTCATATTTAACAGTATCTTGCCTTGCACTCATTTCATGGGGTTACCATTAGAGATGTGGTACGTTTTGGCTGATATTTCAGAAAGCAATACCCAGGCCCTCTTTTAATAGTATCTGGTGCTAAGGGAACCTATTTTTGCTCCAGATTAAGCCACTCACCTCTCAAACTCTTCAAAGAGCTCTCGAACGGTCATTGCAGACACTATGGTAATGGCATATGGCAGGCAGCCGTGCTGTTTACTTAGAGCAAGCATCTTTGCGTAGCGTGGGGCCACAGGAAAGGATGCCATGGTTATTCCCAAGGAACTAATTGGACAGCTCAGCTTTGCTACCTGAAGCTCTTTCAGTCTGGAAGAAGGGAAATCCATCATGCAATAACAGCATTTTGCACCTTTATCACAAGATTGTTCTGTAAATTTTGACTAAGCCATCTCTTTGTTGCACATTTGTACTTTTCTCTAATTGCACATGTGACTTTCATAGTGATGAAAGACTCCAAATTCAGTACAAATTCCTCTCTTCCCGACATTGCATCCATTCATCCCTGAAGGAACCAATTCCAACTATCGGGAAGATTCATTCTGATTGATGAGGCTCTCAAGGTGTAAGCAAGGATACCTGCTGTGAGGGTGGTTTCTCTCCCACTGGCAGCAGGAGTCAGTCCGGCTGAAACACTAATTCATTTCACAGAACAAGAATCACATGGTGACAGTTTCTGATCCTTAGCAACCTGACCTGCATTTGAAATGGTCATTATGGGCTGATTTATCCAAATTCACAGCAAAGGAAACTGTATTGGCTTTAATTCATCCTTTTAGCTATTTCACTGCCAGTCTGCATGCAAACACTCATTTCAGAATAAAATTTTGATGTAGCTTAAAATATGTTGGGTGATTTAAGTGAATATGAAAAAGGGCACTAATTCCAGGATGGTCATGTAGAGACTTGTGACAAACAACAAAAGGGGTGAATTAAAACTGATCATGCAGCAAATTGGTGGGTTAGCTAAGGCTTCAGAAATTAAAAACGTCATATTCCATTATCATTACACTAAGGGCAAGTCTACACAACAGGACTAAAGCTGAAATAATCTGCGCAATTTGAGCTATGTGAATTGTGTAGCTGAAGATGAAATAGCTTATATTGGCTTTTGGAGCTGTCTACACAGCAAGAAGTCCGAGTTAGAGCACTCTCCTTCCAGCTTCCCTTATTCTTCACAGAAAGAGGGTTACAGAAATCGGAGTAAGAAGTTCTCCAGCATTATTTCAACATTATTTCAAAATAAATGCCTGCTGTGTACGAGGACTATGTTATTTCAGAACAAATGACATTATTCCAAAATAATGCATCTATGTAGACATACGCTAAGTTATTGGGCTCTCTGTTTCACCTTTATAGTTATCGGCACAAACATTACAAAGCTTGGAAAGGCCCTCTGAACATTAACAACCAATATTTCAGAGGCACATGAAATGTTCCTCACCTGTAGGGTTTATACAGTGCTTCAAAAACTGTCTGGATTCAAGGTGAAATGGAAATACAACGGAGTAGGAAGAAAAAATAAGCCAGTGAAGTCTCAGTCAGTCTCAACTTGGTTGATTTAAAACACCAGTTTGATGACAGACTATGAAGTGCAACGGATTCTGGGAAGCGGGCCAGCTGACAAATCTGATATAGCATCGATACCAAGGGAACGGTCAAAAAACCAGCATAGTAGGGAGACTGGCAAAACTCTGCCTCCCTATCATATAAGAGATGATATAGGGGAAAAAAACCACTTATTGCTGTCTATAGCCATTGCTCTAATTCTCAAGTCATCACTGTGGAGAAACTTGTGAGAGTCCTGAAATACTCTTACCTTCCTGTCTTTGGTGGTTTCTGTAGGGCTCCGAGTGCTATGAGCAGCTCTTCAGCAGCTGCAAGTGCCTCTGTTGGAGGTGGGGTTGGAAAAGGGAAGTTGATTACCTAAGAACACATGAAGAAATGAACATATAACTGACACTGCAATTGCTGAACAGGAGAGTTTAGATGTAGTTCATCAATAACAAGTCCTTTTTGGTTCCAGAAGCCAACAGAACTCCCTAGCACAAAAAGAAACAGGCACATGGAAGGGAGTGGCTAGAGCACACAATTAGGAATTGGGAAATAGGGAATTTAATCCCATTACTGAATGAAAGCATTGCCTTTGACAAACTTCTTGAAAGCCTTTTCAGAAGTGCTAAGCACCCAGAACTCTCCATATAAGGCAATGGGAGTCTGCGAGTACTCAATGCCTCTAAAAAAAAGTAGTCTGTGTTGCTCAGAAGGCTCCTCTGTAAAATGGAGATATTGCCCCTCACCGGGGAGGCAAGAGACTTAGAGGACACTAGTAAAGCTAACATACACAAAAATGTAAATGTAGGCTTTACTGGTCCTTATTTATGGACATAACCTCAATTCTTTTAAGGAACAAAAGATTTCATTATTTTCCTCCCTCCATTTTTTAAATCTTAGGTCTGTGCTTTGCTAGCTGTATTAATGAAAATGATGATGAAAATATCACAGTTCATGCAGAAGTGGAGATGAGGCTTTAAAGCCCATTGAGGAGGCCTGATGCAATGCACTGCAAGACCAGAGCCGAATGTAAACCAAGCCCCGCTAGCAACATAGCATTCAGCTCCCTCTCTCAAATGTTTCCTCAAACAGGCAATGGTCGGGCAATTTATGCTTATTTCTGGCTACCATCAGACATTTAAAGAGTGCTATAATGCAAAGCTGGATTTTTGGTTCACCTTTTCAATGTTTAAAGCTTTCATCTGCAGAACCAAATCTTCTACAGGTCGCCTTGTAATTTCTGGTGGAGAAAATTTCTCAAAGTCACTGAAAACTGCAGATGAATAGAGCCTAAAGAAAGAAGTGCTATTTAGAGACTTACATGAATCCACAATATACACTTCAAAGATGAAAACGAAAGCAAATAATTTTTTGTTATTGTTTTCTGCTTCGGATTTAAAAAAAGTGAATTTTTAAACTTTTAATATTCAGATTTTAAAGCATCTTAACCACATTTGTATCTAAAACACAGACACAAAGACGAATCTATTGTGGGCTGCATCAACCACCAACAAAGTTGGAGCTGCATGGGTGAACAAAAATTCAACCCCTTCAGTAGTAACATAATATTTTCTGTCAGCTCTTTTTGACACTGAAGAGATGGAAACTGGCATTAGCCACAAGATTTCTGCAGGGTCCAATATGGTCTCATTAACTGGCAGGGCTATTTTCTAGGAAGGTGAGGCATGCAGGATGTTAGTAAGTTTGTGCTGAATCTCAGGCAGCTTAACTAAAAAGATGTCCAAAGTATTGGCCACTCGCTTGCATAAGTCTTGAAAATACCTGAAGTCATCCCAGTCATTGGTGGGGTGCGTGTGAGGGCATTATCGACTCATCCAGAGAAGATGATAATATGTGCGAAGGAGGCACTGCATCTTCCTCCTGTGAGTCATCCAGATCTTATAGACACAGGTGGCCTGGGGACCATTGTCTGAGACAAAGGTGGGCAATAATTTTGATGGGGAGGGGGCACTTCACAGATTTTGGAAGTGGCCGTGGGCTGACCCAGAAGGGGTGGGGCCTCAGGCGGAAGGCATAGGGTTGAGAGCTACCTTGCTGGGAGCTTTGCTTGGTCCGGGGTCCCTACCTCCTGGCCAATGGAAGGGACCTGGAGCAGAGGGGAGCGTGCTGGGGACTAGACTCCTCCCAGAGTTGTCTGGAGTGAAGGCTTAGAATTCACATAACATGGCTGACAGCTCCTGGCCCTGCTGCTAACCTGTTGCCTGGCAGCCGCCCACCAGGCACAAGCCTCACTCAGAGGCTTTTGCCCACCCCTGGTCTGGGGTCTAGGTGGTGCCAGTAACTGTGGTGTTGGTGCTTGATCTTTTGTTGAACTCCATGGATCCCATCCCTGCTAGAGTTGTAGGAGTGGAATGGGGGAGAGCCAAGGAAAAGGCTGCCACATCAGGGTTGAGTCATCTGTTGTTGTAGCTAAGTGTCTGGTTTTGGAGAAGAGGGTTGTGGGGTGGGGAGAAGGTGATCTCCTTGTCCTCTTTACTGTCACTTGAGAAGGGAGGGGCTATGCATGATGGCGTTGCAAGCCTGCTTGGTCCCTCTAATGTTGGTGTGGCATTGGTACCAAACAACAGTGTGAGATCCTGATGAGTAGTCAGCGGCCTTGGTGGAGTGAAGATCAGTACCGCCAGTGTGGAGGGCTGTCTTCGCTGTGCTACCGTGTCCCTCCATACACTCGATGCAGTAGGTACAGGGGAAACTTTGGTACTTGGAGTCGGTACCGACTTTGTCAGTGACTGTACCATTGGCTCCAATCAGCTGTTGACAGCACTGTGATGCGGTCATTTGGGCACCAGTTTCATCGATGCTGATGAGGTTGGTACTGATGGCACAGTAGCAGTTTTCTTTGGTTTGGGTTCCGAGACCATAAGTCATGTGTCTTTAGCATACAAGGTCCCTCAGGTTTGTCTGTACCAGTCTTCCCCGGTACCTGTGCATCCCCTGAAACTGGTACCTTGGGTGAGGAAGGCTTTCACTGAAGGGATATTCTCTTTGATAGTCTTTCCACCAAGGGTGAGGTATGCTTTTTCTTGGCCGTCATTCTGGCTGAAGCTTCCTTTGGTGGGGATGGCCCTTGGTTGGAAGCCATTGTTGGTGAGTTCTGGGTTGGAGAGGTGTGCAATGCCAGTTCCTAAGCTGGCCTCTACCTTCTTTATAGTAAGGAGCTTTAACTGTAGCTCCCTTGTCTTCAAGGATCTCAATGAGAGCTTCTTGCAATGGTGGCAAGTCTTCGGCACGTGGACCTGGCCCAGATAAGAAATACATTGGGCATGCCCACTGACGATGGGGACAGACATTCTGCATGTCAGGCACCATTTGAATCCGGGTGAGCCTGGCATGCCTACTCTATACTAACAGCTATGAACAGAGAGAAGGTTTTTTTTTTTTTTCAAACTAATAAACAAATAACCACGAGGAAACCTTGAACAGGAATAAGATATAAACTATGAATACTAAATACTACTATAAATATATTGTCTAAGATCTATTACAGAGTGCTGTTGTGTTCTGACCAAAACAGGAGCGGTAGAGAAGGAACTGAGGGACAGCTGACAGCGCACACGCGCTGGCACATTTGTCCTGGCATGGGCAGTGCTGCACGTGTGCACTGGCACCCACGGGGATACCGCAGCTAAAAAGTTCCAATTTCAAGCACAGGTGTGCCAAGACACCTACAGAGGAGTGCCCGCAGGAACACTCCTCTAATAATACCTAGTTACAGCACTGCTTGAATACCTTGAGAGAGGAGCATTCTAAATAAGTTAGCTGCATGAAATGAGAACCAGGGGAACTGTCCAATACACAGCAACAAGTTTTGGTATTTTCCTTTCATTTGGCTGATCAACAAACAGAAAATGATTTTCAGACACTGAAGTCTCCTTAACACAACGTCAATAGAGAAGAAAATGGCTAACCTGTAACAGTGCCCTGGCTCTGTGCGGCCAGCTCGTCCTGCCCGCTGGTTTGCAGATGCTTGAGATGTCCAGGTGACTCTGAAAGATGAAACCCCGGTAACTTTATCATAGAAGCGTTTCTTGACTTTCCCGCAGTCAACCACGTATTTAATGTTGGGGATAGTCAGAGACGTCTCAGCCACATTGGTTGCTACCACACACAGTCTTGTTCCAAGAGGAGGAGGTCGGAACACCTGCAGCAAACAGAGTTTGGAAGATAAAAATTTATTGCCTGCAAAATATATTAGTAAGGTCACTCACATGAGCTAGAAAGACAGAAGCGATCACAATGAGTGTGGCTTCACATCATGTCTCCTGGGATGTGAACTGAACACACAAGAAGCAACACAGGTCAACAGAGGCCTGCTTTCTCTCCTACCTGAATCTCCCATTGGAGATTTACCCCTTCACACCTGCCCACTGCAGGTTATTTTGAGATGCTAATTAAGCACACACACAAAGAGCTGCTGCATATATTCTAAAGTCAGGTATTCAGAACAATCACTTATTCCTGTGCAAATAAACCTTTACCTTGGCTTGCTTTTCTGATGCTAGTAAAGAGTAGAGTGGGAGCACATAGAGTGGAAGGGAAGAGTCAGACTTCTCACCTGTCAACAAACAACATTTCTTAAAAATATGGCAAGCAAACACTAGGTGTTTCATTCCCAACAACATTCTTGCAAAATAAACCTTTATTCACATTTCAACATAAAAAAGTCAACATTTTGTAAATCTCTTCTTTTAAAATTGCCATCAGAAAACTGCTATAAGAAACCTGTCCTTTATAAATAACGGTTTACACTATACACTCCAAAATACTAACACACATTTAGAAACAAAGCAAACAGGACAGGTATCCAGTAACAATTTAATGTGTTGGTAAGTGAGATTGAAATGAAAATCACATATGTAAAACCAAAGTGTCAAACCTTCTTCTAGTCCATCATCCCCCAAATCTAGGTCAAGGTCAGAGCCCACAGCATCCTCCTCATCATCCATTTCAGCTTCTCTGTCCTCATCACCTTCATCCACTGGCAAAACGGAGTAATTGTTCAGATCGATTTTGGGTAGTGGCTAAGGCCAAGAAAAAGGGGAACTATTAAACCTTTCTAGATTTAATATTAACAACTGTGCAAATGGTCAGTAAAAGCAAGTAATAAATACCACTGTAGGGTTCCAATCCTGAACTTTTATTGGCCTCAAGATACATAGGTCTTGGGCCCTAAATGTTTTTATTTGTACTACATAGTAGGAGCATTAAATCAGTAATTGATAACCAATGGGATCAGGAAAGACACACCAACTAATTTTTTTAAGTACATTCTGTACAGAAATTAGAGATGACAACATGTAGTCAAGTACACGATTAACTGATAAGCCTGGGTTTATTGGCTACTCTTACTGACTACATGCATTACCACTTTGCTGTCTGTGTATCTATGGTAGCAAGAATGGGGGAGTGGGAGCTAGTGCTGTGGGGAAGGGTGAAGAAAGGGATGTAGGGTCTGGGAGAGAGATGTGGCCTGGAGGAAGAGGGGTGCAGAGAGTTTGGGTTGTGGCTTGGGGCAGCAGGGGGTAGTGGCTTGGGGGTGCAGAAAAGGCTCTGAATGGAAAACGCTTACCTAGGAGGCTCCTGCCTAGCAGCTCTGCAGGACCCCAAGGCAGGCTCCCTGCTTGCCACAGCCCCAAGCTGCTCAAAGTGGGCAGGAAATGGGAGCCGAGAGATTTTGCTAAGAGGCAGAGACAGCACACAAAGCCACCTCCTTTCCCCTGAGCACTGAGCCACAGGAAAAGGGGCTGGGTGCTCTGTGCCTGAGGTCCTGGCAGGGCGACCCAGATCTGGTAGTGTGGGCAGGCCATATCTTGCCTGCCCCTGATTTATACACTAAGCAGTGAAACACCAGCTTTCCTCACAAAGGAGTCCTGGAGCTACCAAGTCCAGTGCTCCTATTCTTAAAGTGCTAATTTATTAGTGGTTATTAGCAGATATTCATCTCCTTTCCTCTTAGTGCCCATGGATGCAATCAAGGCCCTCTCTCTTAAACACTCATTTAATGCAGCAGCTAACAAATACAGATCCAAGTGGGATGGAATTCGTCAGTAAAGGGACAGCCAGACAACTACAAGTTTCTTATAAATCAGACTAAAGTTTAAAAAAAAAAAATCTGAAATCTAGATCCCTGCTCTTTTGCAAAAATTATCCACTGACCCAAGAGCCAGTTCTATTCAAGTTTAAAAGATATTACCATAGTTTTCTTCTGTTTAGATTTCTTAAATTTCTTTGTTTCTTCAACAGACTCTTCATTCTCTTCGCCTCCTACGAAGAAGCATATGGGATTATCAGAGCTGAAAGCTGTCTCAGCTGAGCAGAGTATAACATTGCCCCTGTCCTAAAGGAAAAAACAGCAAGTGACCAAGTTGGTGAGGGGGCCTCAGGAGCATTTTTGTTTTGTTAAGGAATCACAGCATACCAGTGCCTGAGAACTGGCAGAATGCTGCAAAGTGGTGCATTTTAAGGAGGACTCTGAAGCAGAGGCTTAGCCAGCTGCACCTGGAAAGGATATGAAAGTGATCTTCCATTTTGGGAAAGTGCACCATTCCTTCCAAGAGCCAAATATCCTCTTGTGGCTTCTGTCACCCACTCCTATAACCAATGCAAGGCTGAAACAGTGGTGAAATGCAGTGGAGCTGACGGGAATTGGGGGGGGGGGGGGGGATCAAAAGTTATTTAGCTGAAGCTGAGTTCTCAGCATGTCTCAATAGGACTTTTCCCAAGTTTATTTCTGGAACACTCATTGCTTAAATTATTAAAGGTAAACTCATGTCTCCATATGATGGAACAGTTCAAAGCTAGCATTCCCTTGAGTCTTTCTGGAGTTACCTTCAGTTTTATTTTTATGGAATGGAAAGGCTTTTCTGAGTCTTCTACAGAGTGAGTGAACTTCTGCTTGACCTGTTAAGAACACCAAAATCCCTCCTGCAAAAGAACAGATCACTGTAAATCAGAAGATCGCTTGTTTCAAAAGGGGAATCACAGAACTAGTGCTCACTCTTCAAAAGGGATGTCAAATATACCACAACTGTGGAGCATGCAGTGTGACTCATTGCATAACTTCTTAGTAACACACGTGAAAAGGCATGCAGAATACCACAGCATATTTAGGTAAAGGCTAATTCCCCCAACAAAATCTCTTGCAGGAAATAAAGTACAAGAGACAGGACTGCTGGCTTGTATGGCTTTTTTTTTCCCTATTAAAATATTTTTTAGTTCCTGAAAGGAGCTAGATGCTTCTGGCAAACATTTTAAGTGTAAAGAATTTGAGATGCTGAAGAGTTCTCACCTGCTGGTAGCATTCGATGGATTTTACAGACCTTTCTGAAACACTCCCCACTGTAGTCATCTACTGGAGTTTTCTTATTAAAATGAACAGTCACAGGGAACTGCCTTGCATCTACCTAAAATAAAACAGGAAACAAGCCCCTTTTTATGATTACAGCAGAAGTGAGTTTTATGTATTGTAATTCAGGGAGAATCAGAAAGCTCATTAAAGCCTTGATAAGGTATCCTCTCACACAGCTAAACAAACATTTTATCACGCTTCACAAAGTAAGTATTCTATCTGAAGCCCCAGAGTCGAGTGTATATCTAGGTTGAGACCCTGAGGACTGGAAGCTCACTACAGTCAATTTGTGTGGCTTTTCTCTAAGGACATAATAGTATTTTTCATACTACAAAGACATTTCCAATTATTCTTTACTTTCAATTAACCAGAATTACCTCTTTGAATGGAGATCTCTCTTTCCGGTATAACTTTCTAAACACTCTGGGGTTTAAGATTTCTTATATCTAGCTTGCTGTCCACAAAAATGCAGCTGTACTATTTAGTGCAGCAAACAGACTCATCCCTAACAACTTGCTCTTCTACTAAAGGTTAAACCTTTAAACTGGGACTCTCTGGTCTGGCAACACACCACGGATGCTGCTGGGCCAAAAAGTCCCAGTGGAGGGCTGCCTGATGGTGTTGGGAGTCCAGCATGGCGGCAGCAAGGCTGGTGGCAGGCTCCGGCTGGCAGCCAGGCCAGGACTGGGCGGTAGCAGAGGGGCCAGAGATGACTTTCCCTAATCTGGCAAAATGCCTCATCCGGGACGTGGGGTTGCCAGACCTGGGAGGCCCAACCTGTAAACACAAACAGCACTTCTGGCACTAAATAAACGTAAGTGACTTCAGACTTCAAAGTAAGAAGGAAGGCTGCTTATGTGCCTTCTCAATGCCTTTCACCTTCTGTGCATTGACAATGTCTTCACAGCTCTGAATACAGGCAGTCCCCAGGTTACGTACAAGATAGGGACTGTAGGTTTGTTCTTAAGTTGAATTTGTATGTAAGTCGGAACTGGCGTCCAGATTCAGCCGCTGTTGAAACTGACCAGCGGCTGACTACAGGAAGCCCGAGGCAGAGCTGCTCTGCCCCGGGCCTCCTGG